TGAAACCACAGCCATACAGAAAGAGGCAGCAAGAACCCTCACAGTTAAAGATTTCCTTTGGACATTCAATTTCATAGATGAAGTGACTAGTTTCATAGAAACAGTAATCTGTTCAGAAAAGCCATTCTCCAAAAAGCCAGCATTGCCTCCAGCTGACAGTTCTGATGATCTTCCTCCTGCCTTTTTGTCCTCTGTGCTCTATGTGGAGTCTTTTTACATTTAAATCACATTTATTTCTTGTATCTCTGCATGCCTCCTCCAATATTACGTTTTGTGAGAAAACTGTGTCCCTGTGTGTTCAACCCTGTCACCCAGCAGCGGACAGCACTGAGCAGAGAGGGATGTTAAGTATTCAGCAGTAGAACTCCAAAATCGCGGTTGGAGCCATAAGAGGTAGCAAGGTTCCTGAAGATGTGTGCTGCCACACCCAACTCATCAGCTCCTGGAGGCAAAGCTGGTGCTTACACCAACCCCCTCTAATGGAACCACTTGAGAGCCACTCTGGTGCCTTCTGCATCTTCTCAGTAGTGTTGCGGAGGTAGGAGTCTGTACTCCAGAAGCTGTGAAGCTGCACCGACCATCTTTAAATTAGCACAAGGTCCTCAGTCTTTGGAGTGTGGCAGAAGAGGGATTTGAGAGCCTCTCTGTAGTGCTCAGCAAGGACTTAAAAGGCATGAAGTGCAGAGCCTGAAGGATTCTGCATGCTCCTCCTGTTCCCTGCAGCATGCTGCCTCCTCTCTAAAGCACAGACATGACTTGGTAGGCGGCTCTCAGATCAGTGCTGAACCATCCTTTGTTGCTCAGCACTCACCTGCTCTTTACCTAGAGCTTTGCTGTAGCTAAGGAGTTTTTGTTTTGTATGTTTATATTCGTGGGGCTACAAATCATTCCTGAGCAATTCCACACCAAACATAGGTGTCTCACCAAAAGCCATCCTTTCTGCTCTGTATTATCTTGACTGGAATGAAGCACCCACAGATAATGAAATGTGTGGTCCTCACCTTCTCTGGGTAACCCCATAGCACCTCAAGAAAGAGCTCACAGAGTAAACAACCCATGTCTCCCGTGTTGCAGCAGAGGGTGTCAGTATGGAGAAGGCAAGAATTTTGCTGTTGGAGAATAAAATGGCTGTTGTACTGACGGATCTAGGGTTGTGGTGCTCCCTGCATGCCTCCCTGCCTTGTACTGCCATGACATGCTTTTCCAGGCAGGGATTGATGCTGGATGCTGCGTTTGCTGTTGTACAAGCATTTACAGCATTTATCATTTATCATTTACAGCACACCGTGGGCTATAAATGATAAGAAGAATGAACTGATCTGGCAAAAAGCATTCAGGTATAGACTATCCACATCTGGAAATTTCCTGTTGAAAAGAGGAGTGAGGGCTTTACAAAGAGCTGAACAAAGAGCTGAACAAAGCCAGCAGAATCTGAAATGTCTGCTTGCTGCATTTTATTCCCCAGTGTCAATCCCAGCCTAGCAGACCCTGAATAGGAAGAGGAAGGATCCTTCTACTGTCTTCCAGAATAAGAGAGTGAGAATCAAGCGGTGGTAGGGCTAGGGAGGATGCTCTGGTGTTGGGAACTGAATAATCTTTGCTCTGGCAGTGCCGTCACCAACCTTCCTGCATCCCTAAGTCAGGAGGAAGGGAGGAGAAGTGTTGCAAGGGAGAGGGAAGGAGTATCTAGGGCACAAGACATCATACCTATCCCTAGAGAAGCGATCAGTATGTCTCCTGGCAGGAGCTGTCTGCATGCCACCTGTGATGGGGGACCTCAGAGCCTTGCTGGGGGCAGGCTGTGGGTGCAGGCAGGATGGGCATCCGTCTGCTGCAGCGTCTGTGACAGCCCGGGAATCACATTCCTCCCGGGGAGCCTGTGCTGCTGCCGAAACCGAAATGCTGGGCAGAGTCGTGTGTTCCAGCCAGAGCACAGGAGAGACAGCTGGGAAATGGCTGCGTGTCAGCTCTGACATTTTGCCGTCAAATGTCAGAGTGTCTCTGTGCAAGCCTCGTCCTCCCACAGCAGCTTCTGCACTGACATGAATTGTGTGCTGCTCGGCGGGGCTTGTCAGCAGATGGGTGCTGGTGCTGGGAGCCGGCTCCAAGCAGCCATTTTCCAGAGGCAGTGGAGACACGGTGCTTCAGCAGTGAAGTGTGCTGCCATCCTCAAAACAACGCTTTTCAGATGGATGCGTTGTGGCAGCACTGCAAATACGGCAAAGCCTTATGGAGAGATGTGATCTGAGCATTACAATCAGCTACAAGGGCAGTAACAAGGGCAGGGATGGCCCATGTGAGTAGATAAGTGCTGGGGGACCAGCTTTTTCCCAAAATGCCCGGAAGGGGCGGGAAGACAGGGTAAACTTCTGCTGAGTTAAATAAAAATAAACTCAGATAAACTCAGAGCTCCTGTTGCGCCATCAGTGGAGCACAGGGTCCAAAATGGGGGATGAACACCGCCCCAGCCACTAAACACCACTTTCAGCATGTGTGTGTGTGTGTGTGTGTGTGTGCTCTAGGCTCAGGGTCAGGAACTACTGCTACCCACAGTAGCTCTTTAACAGTGGGATCTTGGGAATCATGGATGTAAAGGATCTTCCCCCAGGATCCGGGCAGAGTACGGACTCATTACTTTCGGGCTCTGTGGCAGTGGCTGTGAGAAAGGAGCCAAAGGCTTGTAAGACGGAGGAGTCACTAAAAGGGGTGTAAAGGTTGATGGGGGTTTTAAGGAGACTATAGGTGAGGGAGAGTTTGGAGTTGCACAGTAAATAGTCCAGTTGGATGTAGTCCAAGTGGTCCAGGAGATCTCTGTTCCTCAGAGCCTAATCCTGGGTGAAACATCCCAGCAGCAGCAGACGTGTAGGTGAGAGTCCCCACCCTGTAGGTCTCTGGTACTATCTACCAGAAGGCCTGTCTGTTCTCTGACACTGGTGTTAGCATTAAATTTTGCATTATTGGGTGTTTACTGTAAACACTAGCTCCATTTCCATCTTTGTATTTTTATTTCCTGACAGCATCATCCTGTGTCTGTGAGAAGCACTACTATGTGTGGGAGGAAAGTACTTCTTTTGATCATTTTTTTATCGTCTTATAATTGCTATTCTTACATCTTGAAGCTGAAAGAACTGAAGTTCCTGATGTTTCTGTGTAGCTGTCTTATTGCTTACGCTCTTGTTCAAACTTCTTTTACCCCACATTTCTCAGTTTCCCTCGTGGACTGCCATGTGCCTTTGCAGCTCTGCTCCAAATCCATTATCACTCCATAGTCACAAAAGCTGGGATAAGGTAGGCAAAGGCCACATGAATGCCACTTTCTAGAGTCTGAAGGTCAGTGGTGCCAGCAGACCTGAGGTCCTGGAGTCCAGAGCAGAACCACAGGATCCAGTTTTCAGGGTGCGGTGAGCACTGAGGATGGCTGGATGAGTTAGGGGATGTGTGTTGCTAACCAAGGGTGTTTGGGCCAAGGTTTTCAGAACAAATGGTGGACCTGTGAGAGCAGTAGGTAATTTTGTAATCTCTCAGGATCATCCTGGATCACTGAGGTCTTCTGTGGTTTCTCCCTCTCCTTGCTGCCTTAGTCCTCCCACGCACTTGCCTGTGTTGGATTCTCTGAAGTGTCGAAGGGAAGGCAAGTCTATTCTGGAAGGATTTGCAGGCTGGACCTCCAGGTTAGGTAGGGAAGGAGAAATTAATATGTCCTCTGCACGTAGATGCTGGTGAACATCTACAAGAAAGATGAAGAGGGACTTTTGACATGAGCAGGTAGTGATAGGACAAGGGGAAAAGGCTTTAAACTGAATGGTGGGGGGTTCAGGTTAGGTATTAGGAAGAAATTCTTTACTGTGAGGCACTGGAACAAGTTACCCAGAGAATTTGTTGATGCCCCATCCCCAGAAGTGTTCAAGGCCAGGTTGGATGGGGCTTTGAGCAACCTAGTCTAGGGAAAGGTGTCCCTGGCCATGTAAGGAGATGATCTTTAAGGTCCCTTCAGCCCAAACCATTCTATTATTTCTCTGACTTTAAGAGAACCTGATATTTACTGAACACAGAGGGAGTGGGGCTCTTAGTGCCCTGCCTGTATGGCTCCTGGGACTATTGTGCTACTGTTAAGTGCAGCAGGTAATAAGATAAGCAGGTAAATACCACAGATAATGTAACAGAGAGCTGTGAAACAGTCATCTCAGAGCACGGGAGGAACCAGTTTGAGCTGAGGCTGAACCATCAGCAAAAGGTGAGCAGAAGCCAGTGTGCTGTATGGGACCTACTTAACCATCACTAGTGGCCCCCCATGGCCCCACTGAAGTAATCTGCTCCTTTTCACTGAAGAGGCCTTAGTGTACATAAGTAGTTGCATACTTTGACATGCTCCTCTGGCATTATTAAAAGAGTCAGGACCTCATGGGGCCTTCTGGATTTTGGAGAGGAATGGCTGTTGCTGCTTTCCTGTTCCAGTCTGATCCTGCTTTCCTGTCTCTGCCTGGACCTGTGTGTCTCTGATGTTGCAAGACCTTTCAGAGCAGTTCTGTGTTTGGTTCCTGAAGGAAAGTTCAAGGTACCTAAAAAGAGAAAAAGATGTTTAGTCCTGTGAAAGAAGGTAGACTGCTCTCGCTGGAGTGAAGTGCTTCACTTCAGATCCTGTGCTGTTTTCTTGTGAGCGCACAGTGCCATCTGCAGTGAGGTCTTTGTTTGGCCCAAAGCCTGTGTAGCCCTTTGGCCACTTGACTGAAATCAGTTACTCACTTCAGATAACTTTGAGAGGGGTCAGGTGGAATCACAAGTGTCGTCTCAGGAGCCTCCAGGGAGGGTGACGTGTTTGTCTTACATTGTGATGGTTTGTTTTCCTGAGGAAGGACCTTATCCTCAGGTACTTGTGCTTACAAGGACCTGTCTGTTTGATCCTTGTCAACACATGAAATCTTCAGTCAAACCAAGGATGCTTTAAGTAGTCACTGCCTTTCCTGAGAGGTGACTTCCTTTGTGATTTTGTCTCTCTCTAGGTATCTGAATTCCCTCATGAGAAGTGTCCTCCCTGCCTCTCATGTGCAGCCTTACCTGTTCATGGGTGGTACCAGCTTCACTGATGCCCTGAAGAGCATTCCTCACCATGGATAGTCCACCCAAACTGACTGGTGAGACGCTGATTGTCCATCACATTCCTCTGGTGCATTGCCAGGTCCCTGATAGACAGTGCTGCTCCGTGAGCAAAAGGACCAACCCCTTCTGCCAGCCAGAGCTCAGCATTACACGGACCTCTGCCCTCCCAGACAGAGACCTTTCACAGACTGACTCCTTGGTATACAGCAGCTTTCTCCAGACCTCTGAAACCTCAGCAGAGGCCTCAGACAACAAAGAAGGAAAAGCAAGGGATCTCATTGTCCCTGGTGTCAGTAAGCGACACAACCCTTTCCTGCTGAGTGAGGGTGAAGACCTCAGCATTTTTGGGGATGACTTGGGTCAAAAGTCTTTCCACCTTCACAACTCACTTGTCGATGGCAAACCTCCCTTCAATCTGCAGGAGCTGGCCCTGCCCCCTTTCCACCTCCATGACTCCAACCACATTGTGAAATCCTGGAACATGGCCAGCCGGTCCGGTGTGGTGGATGGGCAAGAGGACAAAATCAGCAGTGATGACATCCAGAAGAGGAACAATGCAAACAGATGCCATCAGGCCTCAGAACGCATGGAGCTGGATGAATGCAGCTGCCACCGTGGCAGCTCCTCCAGCTTCTCCTTCGATGGTGGTGACCAGGAGTGGAACCAGAACACGGGTGAATCCCTGGGGAATCAGGATGCCCTGCACAGCCGGACATGCAGCTGTTCCAGCTCAGAGATCCAGCACTGTCGGTGCTACAGTTCATCAAGTCAGTCTGAAGTGATTGACCAACAGATGGGCTACATCAGTGACTCTTCCTGCAACAGCTCCGATGGTGTGCTGGTGAACTTCAGCGCTCTCTACAACAAAATGAATGGCCAATCTCAATCCAACCTGAATTCAGCCAACCTGTCCTGTGACTCTTCCTTCTGCAGCCACTCAGACACAGGAGCTTTTTACCTGGATTTGCATTCATCACCCACAGAATCCAAGATGTCTTGCGAGTCGCATCACCCAGAGAGTTCAGGGAAGGTGTGTGGGTGCCAACACTCCTCCTCACCTGTCCTTGATGCTAACTGCAACTCCTACCACCTCCACTGTGAGCCTTGCACTTCAGAGAGCTCTGACCTCACTGCCTGCTTCCAGAGCCAAGCACGGCTCGTTGTGGCTACTCAGAATTACTACAAGTTAGTCACATGTGACTTGTCTTCCCAGTCATCCCCCAGCCCCGCAGGATCTTCCATAACTAGCTGCTCGGAAGACCAGACCAAGGGTAGCCCAGCCCAACCCACAGAATACTATCTGTTTAGAAGGCCTGACCTGAGACAAGAGGAAGGCAATGTGGAGTGCAGTGAAGAGGAGGCAAAGGGAGAATCTGCCCAGAACATGATTGAGGGTCAGGTCTATGTCAATGTGTCACCACCAAACCTCAACACAAGCCGGCAGCGCTCCAGGAGCTATGATCAAAACCTGGACAGGAGTCCCAGCAGCAGGCTGGGCTCCTTGGAACGCATGGTGAGCTGTCCAGTCAAGCTGAGTGAAAGTCCAGCAATACCCATCCAGAGTTCTCCCCCAAAGAGAGTGACATCTTTTGCTGAGCTGGCTAAAGGACGGAAAAAGAATGGCACCTCCCCGCCCCTCCGGTCTAGCGGTGATTCCTCCTTGGAGTTCTCTCCTATACCTGAGACTCAGCGAGATTGCCCAACCTTCCTTGAAGAAAGAGCTCGGCGGAGCCAGAGTCTTCCACCCATGCCCTTTGTCCATGGCCTGAACCGCAGCTGTGAGGGCTTCTGTTTGAACCATGCTTTTGGGGACAGCCAGGCTTTGTGTTCCACCAAGGACTCGGTCTCCAGTGAGAAGGTCTCCGGTGGGCATGGGGCAGGTGAGCAAGCCTCTCTCTCCCTGCTGATGGAGGCAGATGCCAGCTTCTCGGGTGGCTCTGCCAGTGGCCACGGACAAAAAGATGTTAGAGCCCGAGCAGACGGTAAGAAGCCAAACTAGGCAGCATGGAGAAGTAAAAAGAAAGGCAGATCTTTGGGATATGAGGGGAGCTGCAGGGGAATCTGCCTGGCGGTAGGAGACCAGTGCCTGTGGAGTTTGGTTCCTGATCTCCCTGGTTCCTGGTCTTTGACCCTGGGGCAAAGCCTTGCTGTGCTTATTTCAGACTCCTATCAGTGCAGATGTCTTGTCCTTATATTACTAAAGCCTCTTGAGGTTTTGTTCAAACCTTTCATATCATGTAAGGGAGGACATGACATTAGCACTTCGAGTCTGTGCAGCTTGAAGGGTTGTCTCCCTTCCAGGTATTTACTGCGCTTGCCCATAAGAATCACCTGCCCTTAGCTCCTAAGACAAGAGATGTGAAGATGCTCAACAAAGTCATGTTCACAGCAGATGAAGGGACTTTTTAAAAAGCCTTTCTTCTTTGGAGCTACTTGGGGCAGAGGTGGAGAGGTGGAGACTGCATAGCCAGCAGTCTCTTCTCCATGCAGGTTCAGAGACGTCACAGAGTCTCTGCTGGGACTTACAGTGTGAGTCCTGCAGAGACTAATCTGTGTGCCTCTGATGGAATATCGTGGTCATGTCCTCCACAGTGCTTTGGATTGTAGCATTTGTTCCCATGGAGAGTAATTGTCACAGTTACCTCTGTAGGAAAGCCTGTAATAGGTGAGTTTTACAGCTTTTCACTTTGATATTGGTTTCACTTGTCCTTGTGAGGAAGCTGTGTGACACTCCTGTTGGAGGTATGACTATTTCTCCAGCATGGCAGGAGAACTCTCTCTCTGCCCTAGACAGGTCTTGTACCTGCTGTCCAGGAAAAGCCCATCTAAAACACCTCTGACCAGACCACTGCAGTAAATAGCCCCTAACATATCAAAAAACAGGCTGTCTCCATTAAGAGGTCCTGAAGATTTCTGTCAGGAGATAAGAACATGTTCATTTGCCATGTCAGGGGTGGGAGAGATTTTGGCCTTTGAAGCAAGAGGTTTTTAGGTATTGTCCTGTTTATTTATTGAACGTGTGCTTGGTGAGGGATGGCAGAGAAGGCAGGTCTCTTCTGGGAGAAGACTGCAAGGGAGCAGCCCTCTTATTTTCAGAGGGAGTGCTTGGAAGTAGCAACCACTGCTCAGGGAGGAGGGGACAGGCAGGACCTCTCAGGAAAATATATCCCAGCAGTTTCTGCCTGCCTCCCAATGTGGGAGGCATCATTGCTGTGCAAGAAACTTCTGTCTGCAGCTGGAGATAGATGCATATCTGCCTTGGTCCAGCTAAGAGCATCATGCAAGCCTAGAGGTTCTGAGAGGGACTAGAGGGAAAGCAAGCCCTGCTAAAAGCTAGGAATATGAGTTAGCTATAGGGAGAAAGGTCTGGAACACCCCACAGGCAGCAGGTAACACCCGGGCTGATCAGGGATCTCGGTCAGCCCTGTGTGTGCATCCAGTGTTGTGTGTGTTGTGCACTGGGTGCAGTGTGTGTCACACTTCAACTGTGTCCCTCAGGATGTTGTGGCCCCACCAGGAGCTGGAGGAATTGACACACAGGAGATGAGCCCAGCACACTCCCTCAGGACATCCCAGTACATCATTTGCTGGAGCAGACCGGCACTTTCCCGAGTTGGAAGCAGGATGTTGGGAACATCCTGCTTAGGTCTGGTAGAGGCAGGGGGATAAAGGAAGTTCCAAAGGGGGGATAGTTACAGAAGAAGGAAGAGGGAGGGAGAAGGGCAAGCAATCAGCCTTTGCAACAGCACCAGTATATTGGGATGTGGGACCAGAGCTGCAGTGCTATTGCATGTAATGCTTGTGCTTGGCTGTGTGAGTTCTCAGTGTCCTTTGGTACAAGAAATCTGATTGTACCACAGTGCACTGGGCCATGTCTTTGTGGTACTGCTTGGGCAGAGGCTGCTCAAGGTCAGGCATCTGACCCCATGGCTTTGTACTGTCCAGGAAGCAAGGGATTGGGAAGGGATAGGAAGCTGGTGACCGTACCAGGACAGACAGGTTCCTGGTGCAGTCTTCCAGACAGCTGTCAACAGCTGGAGACTCCAGCTGAGGCCACACATCTTTACATTGCCTGCTCTTGATGTGTGTAACCAATTCAGACTGGAATCACTCTGCATGTTTAACTGGCCTCTAGCTCGTGCTCTTCCTTCCAGAACAGAGAGCACATTCCCTTTTAACCTGCAGTCTGCTGGGCTGAGGATGATCATCCCTCTGCCCATGCTCACACTTTGTTCCCCTTTCTCTCCCCAAAGGTGGTGGCACAGACAGCAAGCCTGTGGTGCGCTACAGCAAGGACCAGCGCCCCACGACTCTGCCCATCCAGCCTTTTGTTTTCCAGCACCATTTCAGCAAGCCACCCAAGGCACGTGCCCTGCACAGCCATTTTGCTTCCAGCCTCTCCCAGCTCTACAGCTTGTCCAGCAACCGGCCTTCCAGCCAGCAAATCTCCTGTTCCCAGTCCTCAGCCTTGGCCAGCTCGGCAGAGCAGGCGGCGGTGGCGGGGAGCCAGGCCCATGGCACGCTCGTGACCCAGCGCTCGGCAGACGGAGCTGCCTCCCGCAACGATGGGGGCATTAAGAAGTCCGCCCCCGAAACAACCCGTCCGTCCCCGCTGGGCAGTTACTCCCCTGTGCGATGCAACGTGCCTTTCTTCCAAAGCATGGACTCCTCCTCCTCGCCCCCTGCAGAGAGAGCTGAAGACAGCCAGCCGCCCAGGAGCAGGTCCTGCCCCATCTCTGCCAACCTGCTGCCCACGAGGTCGTCCCCTGCTGTCAGTGCCATGCAGCCCTCCAAAACCACCAAAGCTGATGCCCTGAGGCAAAAGGAGAACCCCAAGATGATTCCCAAGAAGGAGGCACCGCTGGAGCCAAGCCCACCACTCTCTGAATACCGACTCCACAGTGGGTCCCTCCCGCCCCTCTCAGTGGGTGGCATGTCCATGAGCAGAGTAGGAGGCCATGCAGATTCCCACTGGAGAAGTGGCAGTGAGAGCAGCAGCTCTGGCCCCCTGAGCAACATGGGAATAAGGCCCGTCAATGGTAGGTACCCATCCTCCAGAGCCTCCTAGTCTGGAGCATCTCCAGCTCCCCATGGCTGTGGCTGCTCCCTATAGTACCACCGTCTCTTGTAGCCACAGCCCAGGATAAATTTGCATCTGGGTGCTGCAGAAAGACCTACACTAAGAACATGTTTTTCCAGTCCCAACTCCTCCACTGTGTCTCTGGAGAGGGGAGTGTGGGCTGCTGATCTTAATGCACCCCATGCCAGGTGCTTGTATCCCAAACCTGCTCCCTCTGTGCCTGCAGTCACAAGGCCATCCAGGCTCCTGTGCTGCTCTGCCAGGCTGTGGCCTCCACCTCTCTCCATGTGTGTGTGCTAATGTCCCGAAATGCTGCTGGACTTCTGAGTAATGTGCTGTCTCTCTTTCTCTGTCCTCCTCCTTTGTCCTCTCTCTTCCTGTGTCCTCTCCATATCCTCCCGTCCGCTCACATCCTCCCGTCTGGTGCTCACTGCCTGCGGCATCCTAGCGAACCACCTCTCTCCCCAAGCGCTGAAGTGGCGGGAGTACAGGCGGAGGAACCCCCTGGGTCTGGACCGCGTTTCGGGGCTGCCCAGCTTAGCAGGCAGCCTGGATAGGAGGCAGCAAGAGCCTCGGCTGAACCGGGGCAACCCCATCTTTGAGCTCCCTGGCGCTCTCAGCACCAGCCATTTCCACTGCAAGCTGAACGGTGCGCACCGTCTTTCCGCTGGGGGGGTCTTGGGAGGTGACCTTGGGACTCGGGTTCAGTATCCCTTGGGGCCCAGGTTCAGCCTGGATTCATCACTGCTCTGCCTGCTCAGAGCAGGAGGGACGATGCATCTGCTCACGTGGGACTGGCGGGTTCAAGAAGAAGGTGAAAGTTGCCTCACTGATGGCTATAATCTGTGTGGAGCCTCCCTGCTTCTCCATGAGGTGAGAGTAGTTGGGTCCAGCTCTGGGCTGGATTGAAGGGAAAAGTGAATGACCCGAGAGCCTGCTTAGACCTCAGAAAGTGCTCCTTGTCTGTGGTTAGCTTGTAGTTCATGTCTCACACAGGAGTTTTGGCCCTTGGAGATTTCATTGTGTGCCCCACAGTGCCTGACCACAGTGCCCCAGCCCTGGAAGTGTGCTGTGTGCTGGGCTGTAGCTTTCATGGGGCAGATGACAACACTGGAATGCTTGATGGGGCTCTGTCTTCTCCATGCTTTGCCTTTAAGGCCTTCTTTGTCCTCCAAAACCTGTGCAGGAAGGGCTTTTGACTGAACCTCCAAGAGTCCTGTGAGGAGAGCAGTGTGGTCTGTCTGTGGGAGGGAGAGCATTCTTCAGGTTAGTCTCCAGTCGTGGAGGGAATTCCTCAAAGCCCTACACCTCACTCTGCAAATCCAAACAGTTTCTCCATCCCTCCAAGGGAACATGCCTAGCACAGAGCCAGGGAGTCAACCAGGTTGAAGTCAGGCACATGGAAGAATTCCTGCAGAAGTCACTCCTTGAAAATGGAGGACATCCTAGAAGACAGGTAGCAAACATGTAGTTTATTCCCTGTGGATGCCTCTGTGTGACAAGTAGGGATTCTCTGTGTGCTCGTTTTAGACCCTGTTTGCTGGAACTATCCACACAGCAGCACAGAGAGTCTGGTGCAACAAGGTTTCCAATAGCACCAGCCCATGAGAGTGAACCTCCCCCAGCATCTTCCAGAGCCTCTGGGCCCCCAGTCAAGCTGGAGCTGGATGCTGGGTGGGCTGTGGAGGTCGACTGCACACATTGCAGACCATTGCTGGGGGAGGAAAAAACCTGTGGCCTTGCTGTCCTAGCAAGTCTGGGATGAAGACTGCTGCTAGTGCACGTTGCTTCTAGGAAAAGCAGACAATGTGGAAGAGGCTTTGGTGTGAGGGGTTTGGGCTGATCCTTCTCCCCTCTGTCTTGGCTCTGCAGGGCAGTCTATGAGGCAACTCCAGCTTACCTACAATGACTTCTTCCCCGACTACTTCTCACTAGCGGAGAAACCTCCCGCTGAGTTCTGCCTCTCCCCAGATGGCAACACAGAGTCCATCTCCATCGACCTGCTGCAGAAGAAGGGTGAGTCTGTGCATCACTCGTGGATGGCAGTGTAGTGTAGTGCAGCATAAAGCAAACGTTTGTGCCTCTCTCATCTCATCTCTGTAGACATAGTGACTTGAACTTTCCCTGCCCTTTCCACTGTAGCACCGCAACTACATGTCCCCCTGGACTGATGGCTGTTTCATGCTCCCACCCCAGTCTCTGTATGCAAGGGTAGGCCTGTGTATCTGTGTGACGGTGCAGATGTGCTGACCCAAGATTCTGTAATTTAGGTTAAAGGTTGGTTGGGTCCTATGTGATAAATTATATTAAAGGATGGAAGAAAGGATTCCAAAGTAGGACAAGATATGGCTGTGATGGGACCCGTGCTCGAGGCAGGGCTGGGTTTTGGCTGTTTGACAGCTGTCTTATCATCATTTCAGAGGCAGAAGGGTTCCCATGCCTTTGCCAGCTATGTGTTGGTGACTACCAGGTGGCAGCTTTCCCTTCTATTTCAGTTCTCTTCTCTTAGTATCCTGGTGCAGATGTCAGATTATGCACCACTGACTTGTTACTGACAGTCATCACAGAACTTGCCAAAATGCAAGGCTTCTGCCCTGCCACCTGTTCTGGAAGGCATCAAAGCAGCAAACGACTCATTGCCTCAGACCCCATCTCTGCTGCCTCAAGGGATGGAGTGTGGAGGTGATGGTTCATGTCCCTTGGGAATATTGACAGGTTGTCCTACTGTCAGGCTGATAGGTGAGTGTTGGAACCAGCAGGGACAGATCTGGGCAGGGGTTAGGAGAGCCTCTGCGTGTTTTGGGCAGAGAGGGCTTGTGTGTAGACATTGGCTTGAAATACCCCTGCCTGATTTCTCTGAGAAGTGTTTTGTCAGGGTCTATCCTGGCAGCCCCTCTGGCAGCTCTCTGACTTGTTCTTTCCCTCTAGGTCTGGTGAAGGCAATCAACACTGCTGTTGACCTGATTGTGGCTCACTTTGGAACCAGCAGGGATCCAGGGGTGAAGGTATGTCCTGCATTCAGCATTCTGAGTGACATGGAGAGCACGGCGAAAGATTGCCTCTCCATTCTCTTCCAGTCAAAAACTACAGGTATCTATCAAAGGCAGTAGTTCCAAGAACAAACCAAACAAAGGTGATGGCATACCATGCAGCAGGTAGTAAATCTGTGACAATTCCTGCTGCATGGTGCTGGGGGTGCTAAAAGAGAACGTGTATTTAAAGGAAGCTCAGAAAAACACAGGGAAGGGAAATTCACCAGGGTTTACTAAACACATAAGAATAATGTCCAGCTTAGACAGTCTCTGAGTTGAAAGTAGTTGTAGGCTGTGAGTGTATTAAGGGCAAATACTATGTATATTTGCTCTTTTTTAAGTCTTTCTTATGTACTTATAATGGCTCTTTATAAGAAAGAAAACCAGACCAGCTGGACTTCTGGTGTGATGCAGGGCACCAGCTCTTTTTTCTCACACAGTGGAGAGTTGTCTCTCCCTCCTCCATGTGTCCCATGCTTTTGGTGTAGCACTGTTGCCAGGGCACAGCGCGCTGTCTCCCCTCGCTCTGTGTCTCACAGGGCTCAATAATAATAAAAAAGTGCATCAGTCATTGCCCATCTGGGGCGTCTGGGCATTCCCTATAGCCCTTACCATGAACCCAAAGTGCATCTCTGGGGCTGGCTGTCTATGGCCTGCACTCCCCTCATTTCGCATTTCTGGAATAACACAGAAGTGCATCTAGGTTGTCCTGGGGTGGCTGTCTTTGGTCTCTGCTCCCTTATCTCCCATTACTGGAATAACACAGAAGCAGAGCAATTTTGCTTCTGTTTGTACCAGGCAGTGTTTGCAGTCCTGTGACAACCAACAGCATGTTTGTGGTGCCTCCTCTCAATGCTGAATGCTCTGTTTCAGGCAGGGGACTCTGGGGCAGCAATGTGACACTATTGGGACATGACAACTCCCCTGGCATGCTGTCCCCAAGGAGAAACCTGACTGGGACAGTTTCCAAACCTATTCAATCTTATCTTAGAGCCCAGAGTAATTTTCCCCTAATTAGGACTGTTGCTGATGCAGAGATTGCTGGGCAACATAACCGGAGCTGTTGAGATTCCCACAGCTTTTTGAAAGACTTCACTGTGAATTCCCCATTCTTGGAGTGTTCATTTGGGGAATAATTGCAACATTCCCTCATTACTTTACTTACCAGACAACGCTGTGGTTTTGGCCTCGGGTTTCATTAGGCATCAGTGTGCCAGGGGCTGAGCATTCACCTGTCAAAAGGCAGCACCCGCCCCTGCTGCTGCCGTGCTCAGTGGATCTGACGGGATTATTCCTGAGCCAGAAGTTCAGTTTCAGTTCAGGGCTTTTGTGGGCCCGTGCCAACTGGTCAGTATAATTCCAGCTCAGCTGGTAAAATCTGTGCCCTGAGCACCATTTTCTGACCCATTTGGAAGGACCCCTCAGCAGCTCAAACACTGTACACAGCAGAATGTGTCCTTGCTCTGCTGGTGCTGGGCTCTTACACGCCTCCTCACCTCAACCTGAGCTCTGTCCATCCATTTTACCCTCACCCTGTTTATTTATAGTAATCCCTAGGAATTATAGCTTGACATGTCACTGAGTTAAGTGTTCCTTAACCCTTTGATGCTGGTAGTTCCTGTGTGGTTTGCTGCTTCCTGCTCCAAAATTAGCAACAAGAAAATGTACAGCAACAGAAAAATCCCCTGCTCCTTTCTTCCTCCAGCAGGACAGCCTTGTTATAACTTTTGGCAGAACCACACATCGCTTTTAATTGGGATATCCTCTTCCCAAGCTAGGAGGTTCTTTTCCCAGGCTTTGCTTCTTCCCAGGCTGGGAAAGACCTTGCAGGGAGCAGTCCAGAGCTGGTGTATGAGGCATTGGATTGAAGGGGAAGACCCTGAATGTTCAAGGAGCTGCTGAGCCTGGATGTTGCTTACTGGGTATCTGTAGTAGGCACGTGAACTGTTTCCATGCATCTGTACCTTGAGAGAAGTTACCAACACTTTCCCTGTTGCCTGTTGTCCATTAGGCCAAACTTGGGAACAGCTCCGTGAGCCCCAATGTGGGACATCTCATCCTGAAATACCTGTGCCCTGCTGTCCGGGACATTCTGAGTGATGGGCTCAAGGCTTACGTCCTGGACATGATCATTGGCCAGAGGAGGAACATCCCCTGGAGTGTGGTGGAGGCATCCACCCAGCTAGGTATGGATGTTGTGCAGCAGAGCCTGCAGCTCTGTGACACTTCTGTGTTGTTGCTGGGAGGTGCTGGGGGAGATTCGCTATGAGGATGATGATTTCCTTGCATGGAACAGGGTGCTCGCTGACCCTTCTGTGCAAGACAGGAGAGACACTGCTCTAATCTGCCTAAATATTTATTGTCATTTTCCCTGAAATTTCTCATATAGCAGGCCAAATCAGTGAAAAAAAAAATAAAGAAAAAACCAAAATTAATGTATTGGGAAGCCTCTTAGCCTGATTGTGGCAAATCTACAGCTCTGGGGTTATCTCTGTGATTGCAGACACACCAAATTATAACCACCCACCACAATATTCTGTTTATATGCTGATTTTGAGCCAATGACTGTGATTGTCACTGAAATGTGGGAGGCAGGTCCTTGCAATATTGAAACTCTCCCAGAGTTTTGGAGTTTGGGACAGACCACAACCCATCTCCCACATGGAGTCCAAATGTTGGGATGGAGTGAGTTCACATTGGCATTTGGCAGAGAGGGAATGCACACACAGGCATGGACACCCAGAAAATGTCATGTCTTGCCTTGATGCTCCTTCCCATGGTGCTGTTTTGGCATTGCTGACCACAACTAATCTCAGCAATTTGCTTCTCTCCGTAGGCCCCTCTACCAAGTTGCTGCACAGCCTCTATAGCAAGATCAGCCAGTACACGGAGCTCACCAACCACACAATGAGGTTCAACGCCTTCATCTTTGGCCTCCTCAAGTAAGCAGGACCCCGGTGCTGGCTGCATGTCCCTGTCTAGGGCTGGCAGCAGCTGCTGCTCCTTGACTGCAGGCAGCCACAGTTGACCGTGAAAAAAACTTAAGAATGTGGAAAGCCACTTCCCAGAAGTAGGTGAGGGAAGGAAGAAGCCTCAGGGAGGCTTCAGGGAACTTCCCTGTGAGCCTCAGGGAACTCCAGAGGGATCAAAACCTTCCCTCTCAGGTCGGGACTGAGAAGGGGTGGCTGTTGTCACCTTGTTTTAGCCCCAAGACATTAGGTGGGAAGGGTCTGTCTGTCCAGCTTCATGCATAAATCATAGAAATGCATATGCATAAATTATAGAAATTATATGCATAAATCATAGAAATTCCTGTTTAAATCACTGCTTCCTGGAGCTGCAGTGAATCCCAGGGTGTGAGGCCTTGAAGGAGGAATTGCCCTGGTCCAGGACTCAGGGCTGGTCCTTCCAGTTTGGATAAGGAGTGTGCACACTACACACAGTGTTAAACAGAGGAAGGCAACAATGCCTTTTTGTGGGTGAAGGGATGAGTGCTGCTAGGATGGTGTTTCCCTGCTCCTCTCTAGTGGTCAGCAAGACCTCTGGCAGTGGCAGCAGAGGCCCCAAGATTTCCAGATATTGGAGAACCCCTACAAGCAGGAACAAGGTCTGCCCTGCTGTCCCCACACAGGGTGGCCCAGTTCTCCCCTGCTGGCACAGGATACCAGTGTATTTTGGGCCAAGCCACCAGCAGTGACCTTAGGTTTGTAGATGATTTGACTTTTCCACGGAAGCCTCTTCTCAGCAAAGCAAAGCTCTGCCAAGGACATAGGAGCAAAATAGTGAGGAACTTTGCTGGAAACATGTTTGTCAGGGATTACAGTTGCACATGTAAGGCCGGCTGGATGTTCTGTGGCAGACTGGGTGTTTGTGATCAGTGAGTGCTGATGGGACTGACCAGCTGTCCTTTCTCTAGGTCTGGAGGTTCACAGGCTCATGCTGTGTACATGCCCTTTTCTAGCCACACTTCTTTTTGTAGAACAATGAGAATGAGTTGGCTGGATAGATTTTAACTGTTTTATCTTACCCTGCTTTTTTAAAATTCCTGCAGTATCCGGTCCTTGGAGTTCTGGTTCAACCACCTCTACAACCATGAAGGTAAGATCCTGAGGGCTATGGGCTGCAGTGGGGGCCAAATTCTGCACAGTGTAGAGCATGGAATGAAAATGTGCTTCTCTTGTTGCTCTCTCAGCTTGGGCTGCTCTTCTCTGCCCTAAGCTGAAGGACTAGGCTATACACAGCTTCAGTGCACCAGGGAAGTCCCAGGTGGAAGTTCAAGCTCCATGCAGCTCCTTCCACCTAGCTTGGACATCCATTCACCTTACCAGCTGCAGCTAGCCTTCCCAAGGCTATCACCTCCAGTGCAGATCCCTCAGTCTATCTGCAGGAGACCAGATCTAACCCTCCCCAAATTTCTGTGTTCCTTGCCCAGTGCCTGAGAGTTTTGTATGCCTGGAGATGTGCACACTTAGCTGAAATCCTTCAGGCATGGGAAATAGAAAGAAATGGAAAGGATAACCTCCTGACAGACAAAAAGCAGATTTTACTGGATGTATCTGTTTTATATCAGAATAGAATAGAATAGAATAGAATAGAATAGAATAGAATAGAATAGAATAGAATAGAATAGAATAGAATAGAATTGGACCTAAGCCTGTTGTGTTTTTCTGGAGCAGAAGACAACCACCTATTTCAAGCCATCATTAAGAGCTGGAATTGTGGAATTGAGAGCTAGAGCTGTCAGGATAATGAGAGCTAGGCAAAGGGGTTGTAGGTAGGGTGCAAGTCCTGCCTGTGGTGTAAGTTTGTTATCCCAGTGGGGCCAAATGGCCACAAATCCCATTCCCAGCTCTCTCCCTGAGCGTGAGACCTGACAAAAAAGGAGGATGGAGGGGCAGTGCAGTTATGGTTAAACCAAGTGAAGAATGAATCCTGCAGGTAGAAATGCTAGTCCATTCTCTGCTAAGATCCACAGTTCAGCCAAGACAGGTCCTGGAAAGACTGTATTCAGCTGCCCCTGACACCTCTGTCTGCAGGGGACTGGTACTGGTCAGATCGGAGGCTCCTTGTTCACCTCAAAAAGTTGGAGAAAAGAATTTTAACATTTTACTCCCATCCTACTTCCATGGCATTTTGTGGCAGAGATCATCCGGGAGGTCATGCCAGGCAGGTCATCCTGGCTGCAGGCACAACTGGAAAGCAGTATTTGGGCTGGTTTGCTGAGGGCACACAGAGCATCTGGTGCTCCCTGACCCAGGCCTGAGCCTAACACTGCCACCACAGCTCTGATCAAAAAATAGTGTCCAGTGCCTTTCCCCATAGCTTCAGCACCTTTGTGGTGGCTTGGCAATGGTGGGAAGAGCCTCTCCTCTGATTAATGTCTCTTGCCCTACAGATATCATCCTGGCACACTACCAGCCAGTGGGTTTCTTGTGCCTGTCTCACAGCGTGTGCCAGCCTCTTTTTGAGGAGCTCCTGCTCCTGCTCCAGCCTCTCTCTCTGCTGCCCTTCAACCTAGACCTCCTCTTCGAGCACCACCTGATGCAGATGGGCAAAGAGCAGCAGCAGCAAAAGGAGCTGCTGCGTGTGAAGCAGGACCTGCTGCTGTCCGTGCACTCCACCCTGCAGCTGATGCGGACGCGGGGCAGCAGTGAGGATCCCGATGGCTGCAGCACCGCCCCTGAGACATGCCAAGGGGGTGCCAGAGATGATGACATCTCACCAGGGCACAGCCCACAGCAAGCTGTGAGTGAGAAGAGGGTCAAGGGAGTGGGAGCCTCCTGTGGAGATGGTGACAGGGAGGAAGAGCGGAGTAAGATGCGAGAGAGCACATGGGAGAGGAAGAAGGACAAGCAGGCAGGCTGGTGGTACCAGCTCATGCAGACCTCTCAGATTTACATCGAGGGATCAGCTGAAGGCTCAAAGTTCATCCGCTCGGAGAAGAAGAAAGCTGCTTTGAATACTGCACCCAAGTCAGTGGAGACCCACAAGGCACCACCACCCCGAGAAGGGGTGGTGGAGGGCGCAGAGGCTTGTCCCATTGCTGAGGGTACCTTGGAGGAGAGGCCCAAGGCTGCCAGCAAGCCAAGTCCTGAAGCTGTGGAAGAGCCCCTGGAAAAGCCCCAGCAGGTCATGGTCAGCGAAGAGGTGAAGGAACGGAGCTGGCCTTTCTGGATGGGCAGTCCCCCAGACTCGGTGCTTACAGAGCTGAAGCGCAGCAAGGAAAAGGAGACTGGGACTCAGCAAAGAGTGGGAGCAGCAGCATCAGCCCCTCAAGAGGACAGCAGCACCAGTGCATCAGAGGGCAGCCAGGCTATCAAGTGGGGACATTTGTTTGGGTCCAGGAAGGTACAAAAAGAGCCCAGGCAACCGAACAGGTAAGGGTAGGGGTGGTGTGGGGCTGAGGAGGGCTGGTTAACCTGGAGTGCAGCAGTGCAGGTGGAAGTCAGGCCAGTAGCTGACTGCTGCGCTACACCACTGTGATACCTCAGGGGTCTGTCACCCCTGCTCAGCCCTGCCAGGCCACCTTAACTCTTCCCACACCCTTGCTCAGTCCACCTCATGGGCCTTCCCCTTCTGCCTGAGCTCTACCACTGCCTTGAGTCCTAAATCCTCTCTCCAGTGGAAGAGCACCTGCCATATGGCCCCATCATCACCTCATCCCTCCCAAAAACACATATAGAGAACAGAACATGGAGCAATACCTGTTGCTCATAACAAGCGAGGAGGACGTGTGAAGTTGCCCCCAGTAGCTGAGACCTCCCTGCACTGCCTCTCCATCCACACACCCTTACTGTTCCTGAAAATGTTCACTGGAAATGTCCTTCCCAGTCTAGGCTGTGGTGTGTCTGGGGACCACAGTGCACTTTGTGCATGAAGCCAAACCTCTAAGGCACGGCCTTGCCATGAGATTGGCTGCTCCATTCTCCTGGTGATGCTTCCGTGCTGCCAACTGCTTCTGTCTCCTCCTTCCAGGTTGCCCTCTGGCTGGCTGAGCTTGGACAAGTCCGTGTTCCAGCTGGTGGCCCAGACAGTGGGGGCAAGCATGTGGCGTGAAGCAGCCCCTGAGCCAGACCCCCCCCAGCCAGAGCCCCCTGAGGTGCCCCCTGCGACACTGCCGGCCCAGGGGATGTCTCCCCACCCTACCTGGTGAGTGACACCAAATGGCCATCCTGCAGGTGCTGGGATGTGGCAGGTTGGGGATGGCATGCCATTTTCCTGGCCCCCTTTGTAGATGTGGACTAGGGATGGCTGGAGGCAGTGATGCAGTTTGTTCATCCATCCACTGCAACTCTGCAATCTCTGGGTGAGTGGGAGCTGGGAGGCAGCTGGGAGCCTGGCTGGGGAGGGAGGCAGGGCATGTTTTCCTCGCTCATCTGTGCCTCTGGTCATCCCTGAGTGGGATAAGCATTCTGTGGTGAGCTAACCCTTCTTTCCCTCTGCCTGCAGTGAGGTGAAAGCTCTTTGCCATCACATTGCCACTGAGGCAGGACAACTGAGCTTCAACAAAGGGGATATTCTGCAGGTCATCTCCAAGGTGGATGGTGACTGGCTGCAGTGCAGCCTTGGCTCTGAGAAGGGACTGGTGCCCATCATGTATGTCACCCACCCAGAGGATGAGGACTATTGACACATCTGGGAAGCCAAGCACAGTTCTGTGGGCTGCTGAGGCTCCTCTGGGGTAGCCCACCCTGCCAGAGGAACAAACACAGCTTCTTGCTAGTTTCTTACCTTTCTTGCCATTACAGAATACAGTAACCGTAGGTGGTTCCTTCTTGCTCCTCCCTGTGCAGCTGCCAAAGGCCAGCTCGGCCCCCTGGGGTCCTCTGCGAGCTGCACCTCCTATCGCCAAGCATTGCCATGCATGCAGCCACACCAGGGACCACCTGACCCCCCCCTCCACCCCACACTGTCTCCAGCACCCACAGACCATGGACTCCTACATTACAGGAACCCAAACAGCGCTGCCCCACTGCCCAGCTGTTTCATGCTGGGGGGTGCAGGATGCTGTCCCCTTCCCAGGGGTGGCAGCCTTCTGCATCCCTGGCATTCTTGGCCGCAGGGTGGGAGCACCGTGCGTGGGCAAGGTCTCTGCAAGGCTGGGCTGATGGGTTCTGTTGTGGTTTGATGGGGGTAGGCTCCCCCACACTGGAGCATCCCTGTCCTAATGTGTTGTTGTACCATCTGTACCACTGGTACAGCCTGGTGGGTTGCACCAGGACAAGTGGCCTGGCAGTGCCACACTGCAGGGCTGGGGCTGTGCCTGGCCACAGCCAGGGGAGGGGGACAGGATATGTGTGTGTGTGTGGAGCAAAGGGGCGCGGGGGGTTGTGAGGAAGGCGTGTGGATGTTCAGTGTTATGTAGGTCTGGGATGGGTAGTGCCACCCTGTGCAGAGATGGGTGCTTTGGGGGTTGGCCCCATGCCCTTCACACTGAGCAGGGAGCCAGTGCTTGGGAAGCCCTGGGATGCTCATTGGAGAGGGTTGGAGGGGAGGGGATGAGGGCAGGGTCCCTGACTGGGCTAGGGATGTTGGGGGCAGTGCTCCCAGCAGGTAGATCGGGGTGCTCCCAGAGGGAGTGGGGGAGCCTGGGGAGGGAGGGGTGGTGCTCCCCTTGGCACAGGGTTTCTGGTCTTGCTGAGCAGTGCCATGGGGTGGGGGGGATAAGTGTTGTGCATAAGCACAAGGGGATACTGGAGGTCCTGGGGTCCTTGGTAGAGGCAATGCCAGTCAACCCCTTCCTTGCCATGTTCATGCCGCCTGCTGTAGTGGGGATCTTCACCTGCATGTCAGGTGGGGAACAGTGTTAATGAAAGGCCATGCCAGTATTTGGTGCCTTGGCCGGGTTGACGCTGTTCACAGCATCGTGCCTGGGCTGGCTTCACCATGGCAAGGGGCCCTGGTCTTGCTAGGTTACCTCCTGCTTGTACATCGCTTAGCGGACGTTGCACCATATTTAATTTGTATTTCCCTGTTAGAATGAGGTGTCTCGCCTTTATTTATTTCTTTATTTATGATGCATATTAATAAAAAAGGTGCTGATTGAGCTCCCTGCTACGCAGTCTTGTGATTTCGGCGACTCTGTGGGATGGGTCTGAGGGTTACCTCTGTTACCTGGGACACTGCACTGCAGGCTTTGTCCTGCCTCCACCACAGCCAACTCCAGACCTTCAGGAGGAGATAGGTTGCCCCCAGTGATCAGACCTGTCAGTTCAGGCCTGAGGAGTGTGGGGGGCTGATGATATGTCTTGGTGAGGCAACACTCTTTGGGGTTCCTTGTGTGTGCTTGCAGTGACCCAGGCAGGTTCCAGACAGGAGTTCACACCATTTCAATCTGGTATCTGCTTCTCTAGGAACATGGGAAGGTGAAGGTAAAAGAAGGGTTGTGGGGCTGGGACCCATAGCCTGGGACAGCCTGGCCATGATTTTCAGTGTCTCTGGGTCACTCACAAGGAAGGGCTGCAGGGCTTTTAAACTTCCGACTCAGACACTGGGCCTTCAAGTCCACTATGAACCCGCCCCTTCTCTTTACATCCCAGTAGTTCCAAGAAGAATGGGAAAGCTCTGCTTCAGCCTCCAGCCTTTGCTGCAAGGACACCACACTGGAGTTTGCTGCATCCATGTGGACAAGTCATCTGCAGTGGTGGAGTGAGTCAAAACAGCTGAAAAAAAAAAATCCACAAATGAAGCCGTGTAAACCCCTGTCCTGGAGAAGCACAGAGGAGCCAGGGCTTCTACATGAGCTGCTTTGATAATCTCTCAGAGGGGGCAGTGGTCACAGCTGTTTACAAATTGCAGGGAGCCAGGCAGTTCTCCCCACGTGCACCGGCTGGGCCAAATGGGGAAGGGGACCATGTGCTGGCAAACAGCCCCGTGGGGTGCTGAGTCAGCCCCAGGCAGGAAAGGGGATTTCCAGCTGCCTGCACCGCCAGCACTGGATCTAGGATTGCTGCTATGGGGCTTGCAGCTGCTGAGGACTTCTTTGGGGTTCATCTGGCTAAAGTCAAGCAGGTCCAGGTGGGTGACTATCAGATAGCCTGTGCCAATCAGGAACTGGCCACAGGGCACAAAGCCTGTGAAACCTGCAAGGCTGGAAGCACACAGCAGTGTGTATGGAGCACTGGGACAGTATGGGACAGTACTGGAGCCATGACCAGGTGGCTCTGCTGGTGGCCTGGTCCCAGAGGGTCAGCCATAGGATCCTGATGGGAAGAGGAGACACTGGGTGTCTGCAGGTACCCACTGTGGGTGCTCTTGCTCTCTGGGGACTTTCTGGGGCCAGGTCCCTCAGCTGGTCTGAGTTGGCTGTTGATAGCAGGCTCCACACCACGACTTGGGGGGAAGGTATCCCTGGGATCCTCAGCCACAGCCGGGACACTCAGTGGCTCTGGGCAGGAGACCTTTGCCCCCAGGATGGGTAGTGGGGCAGAAGTGGCTTCAACTCTCTATCCTATCTCCTCCGACAGCCAAAGTAGTTCACCTGTGTCTGCTACAGCTTCTCTGTTGGTTAGTGGCTCCTGATGCCCACTAACTGACCCTCTCTCCCACATATTCTCTTTTCCCAAACAGGATGCTTCCCATAGAGAGAAGCTGGCTCAGCACAGGAGCCTTTGTGTCTCATATGGGGCAAAGGAACCTTTTGTTTTCCATACATGGGCTGATCCTCCATCCAAGAATAAACCTAAGCCAAGACACAGCTACACATTTGCACAAAGCCTTTGCCATCACTGAGGCCACTGCCAGCATGAGGCCCAGGCTGTGGCACCCACTCCTGGCTGTGTGTTTTGGAGTTGACCCTGGCACGGGCAGGGAAGTTCAGCCAGCCCCCACCTCAGGGAGCTCAGCATCCCTTGGCACCCCTTCAGCTGGGACACGGCAGCAGAAAGGTGGGTGGGTGATGGAGAGAGGAATGAGTGTTGGCACACAGCTCTGTGAGAACCTCCAGAGGAGATGGGAGCAGGTAAGATGGTCATGCTGTATGCATGACCCCTCCTGGGTACTTTCCTGGTCTTAAACACAGCAGCTCACCAGCTCACTGTGCAGGTCCCTGGTCTCATTACTGCACTAAAGTCCCTTTCAACCTCCTGGTGATGGTCTGCCTGCCAGGGCCAGCTCCACATCCTCCTGCCCTCTGTAAGCACAGGCCAGAGCAGTCAACAACTCCAGCAGCAGTGCCCAACCCAGCATCAGTGCCCACCTCACATGTCCTGAGGTGCAGAGCGAGGCCAGGGGGAGCTCTGGACCAGCACCAAGATGCACAGTCAGTTCTGCCTGTCTCGTGTCACTTGTCTCATGTCACCTGAGCAGCAGCTGTGTCCTACTCTCCTGCTCCTTGCAGGCGACACTGAGCTGCTGCTTAACGAGGCTGCTTGTGGCTTCCTTGCAGATCACAAAGTAAGCCTCAGGAAAGAAGTGCTGGGGTCTGTAGGTGAACCCTGGGAGCAGAGATTCATCATATGGGAAGCAAAGAGGAGCCCAGTTTCATGGTACAGGATTCTGCTTTGGAGTGTGAGGGGGGACAACATGACTATGGGACCCAGTGCTGGGAGGGGCAAAGCCATGGGGTGACAGCATGGCTGGGGCAAATTAAGGGTGCCGTGAGAGTCCAGATGTGCATGACAATCTGAGAGGGGGGCACTGCTGGTGCCAAGTGCTAGGGGGTCCCGGGAAGTTCCCTTGGACTTTCTCTGCCCAAGTCATCAGGACCTGGCTCATTTTCAGGGCAAAGGCTGTGACCATGGACCCTGGATGCCTGTCAGTGCTGAAATAACTCTGGCAGCTCTCAGAGGCTGCTGCAGGAGACTGGGAAGGAAGGAGGCACTTGAGCACCAGCAAACTGCCAAGCTGCCTTTGGGACAAGCTGGGGGAGCTGGGATGGGAATGCACATTTGGGCAGGACAGACAGGGAGAGATGGGATGGGGATGCACAAAGAGTCAGGATAGGCAGCCTCAGGGGTCTGCAGCCACAGCAAGAGAGCTGCTTTCAGACAGGGAGCACTGTGCCTGAGCCAGGATGCCATGAACAGTTAGACCCACAAACCCTGCCGGGCAGAAACACTGAAAGCAAAGAGTGTCTCATTAAACAGACTCTGTAGCAGCCAGCACCAGGCCTGGCAGAGGAGTGTGACAGTCACATCACCATGACTGCGAGGCATCTGACAGAGAACAAAGGAGGTACTGCATTAACATGGCAGCTTTTTGAAATATCTGCTGGAACTGACCCTTCTCTTTGCAAAGGCTTCAGGCAGCACCAACTTTGAGGGCAGCAGAGGGACAGACATCTGTGCAAGAGAGCATGGGGGGCAAGCAGGAACACGTGTGTCCAGTGTAAAGGCCTGATACATACTGGAGGAGAGAAGGGAATGCCTTTCCTTCCCGTGCCCCTCCTGGCAGCCAGATCCCATGCTCAGACTGCAAGTGTCCAGCAGGCAGTGACACACACAAATCATGGAATTAAAGAATGGTTTGGGTTGCAAAGCACCTTAAAGATTATCTAGTTCCACCCTTCCCCTACCATGGGCAGGGATGCCAACCACTGGATCAAGCCTGGCCTTGAACATTTGAAATCCCACAAGTCTCCATGCAGCAGCTGTGCCATGATGGGCAGGGGCTGCCAGCCAGGGGATGGGCATGCAGGTGACCCTGACACCTCTGTTTTGCGGACATCAAACCAAGTATGACCTCATGATTATCCCTGAGAGCTTTGTGAGAGCTCAAAACAGCTGAACATCCAGCTTTTAGGTCAGCCCAGCTGTAGCCTAGCCTGGGAACAGGCCAGCTGCCTGCACTGCAGCTGTCCCAGCCCAGGGTCACAGAAGCTGCTTCCCAGGTCCCTGGCTGATGTGACCCCACTTGTGGCAGTAGGACAGGAGTGCTGAGGCCGGACCAGACACTAGGGCACAACCTGATTCCCTTTCACCTGGAGGAAGGACAGTGCTGGTGCTGTGGCACCGTCCTGGGACTCGGCGCTGAAATCTGCACCTGCCGTGTGGATTTCCTCTCTTGGCCCCTTCGCTGACTTCTTCTCTGCCTCAGTGCCCACAGCTGTACAGTGAAACCCACAAGGTTTCCTCTGAATGAACTTTAGTGGCAGCAGTGCCCACGAGTGACTCTCACAGCCCAGCACCCCTGTTTCCCCTCACTGCAGTGCTCGTGGGGCAAGGGCCAGTCTGCATGTCAGCAGCTGCTCGTGGCCCATGGGAAGAGTTAGGGGAGGACTGGCAAGCCAGAGAACATTGTGCTCCTGGAGAGCACTGCACAGGGGAGTAGCATCTGTGGGTGCAAGCTCTGATTTCCAGCTGCAGGGAGAAGACCTTTCTCCAAGGTGTGGCCACAGTGATGGGGTCCCTGTTTTAGAAGAGGATGCAGAGCTCTTTGCAGCACAGATACACCTTTGGAAACAGGAATCCCAAATAAAAGGGGCAGGTCGTAGGACTATTGTTGGTGGTCTTCAAGCATGCTGATGGGTGCTTTGCAATAGCAGGCAGGGGCAAGCAAGATATCAGTGTGTGGCCCCTCTACACACACCACGAGACTTGGGGGAAGACGGGGAACTGAGCTCCCTGCACGAATGGGCTAAGCATGTTCCCAGAAAGGGATTGCCTGCTGGTGACAGCCACAACATGCTTTGTTTCCATGACCCTGTGCGATTACCAAAGATTGAAAAGTCCAGGGGCATCTTGTTTGGCTGCAGAAAGGGGAAATATGTGGAAATGAGGAAACTCAGATAAAACGGAGCTGTGAGAAACAGCACAGTCACAGAGTGTCCAGCAAGCTTGCAAAGACTTAAGGCAGCCTTTCAGGGCTCCTGGTATAAAAAGGCAGAGAGAAACCAGCAGGAATAACCACCAGGTCCAGAGGTTATTCAAAACAGAGATGTTCCTTCAAAGAGAAGAAGCCATGTCTATGACAAAGATAGCATAAGTCAGGTAAGATGTAAAAGCTTGTCAAGACAAACAGAAAAGAGAGCAGAGAACAGCCTGTAGAAGCAGCCAGCAGCCCTTTTTGCCAACACTTCAAGAGCTGCCACAACGTCTCTAGGGTCGCT